GGGATGGTTTGGGATTGGTTTTTTGAGCTAAACTGAAGAGTGCATCAGCCTGCTCCTGGCTACACGTGTGCACTGCGTTAATGCTTGCGAGCATTGGTTTTTAAACAGATTCAGGAAAATAAAATAAAATCAAATCCTGTTTCCACTTGTAACCTTTGTGAGATGTGTACTTGAAAGAGTTTTTGGAGCTGGAAAATCCCTGGTGCTTCAGACACATAAGTCTCATCATTATTCAACTCCTGTTGAGCACAGGGAATAGAATGCTTTGTTATGCATATAGTTATGCATGGCAAGCTATGACCTAGGACTTGAGGGGTCCACTGCAGGTCCCAGGCACATCCAGGAGATGGGGTCAGAGACCAGCACACCTACAACATCATTCAGGCACGGACTTGGGCTGAGCTGAGACACGTCCCCTGGGCCCTTGGCCGGAGATGGTGTGGGTGAGGGTCCCAGGGGAGGCCGCTTCCAGCCATTGAGGCCTATGAGCACCCCCAGGACCCTGGCAGAAATAGACCTGCACTGCTCATGTGCTCTCCTTTGGACATTTATGGTTGGCTGCTTTGGAGATAGTATTGGGCTTGATGGATCTGATGGAGTATTGCTGTTCTCTGGCTTTTTTGTTTTACTGTGTTTTTCCAGAAGGGAAATGGCTCAGGCGTTTCTAAAAATGAGTACAAGGAGGAAAAAAAAAATCCACAGGGAAATAACAGGTATTGCTCACCTCAAAAATGTTTGCAACTGTTTAGTTCAGGAGCACATCCTGCTTCAGACTGAGGGCTTGATCTTTGAGCCTTGCCTTGGTTTTTGCCATCCTCTGGAAACCCAGCTAAACTGGATGAACACAGAAGACTTTCAAAAACTATACTTCACATATGCTTTTTTCAAATTTGTTCAGATAGTTAAATTATCTTGATCCGCAGCTCTCACCCCTATCAGAAAGTCCCCAGAACCCTTTCTGCAGGGCTGCTCTCCAACCACTCCTCTCACAAATTATTTTTTGCCCAGTGTTACTCTGTCCCAGGTGCAGAATCTGGCACTTGTTCTTGTTAAATTTCATGCCACTGGTGATTGGCCAATGCTCCAATCTATCTAGATCCCACTGCAAGACCTATTGTCCTTTGAGAGAATCAACAGCACCTCCCAGTTTGGTATCACCAGCAAACTTGCTAATGGTGCATTCAACTCTTGCATCCAGATCGTTGATAAAAATATTTAAGGTAAGTGGTAGCTGTGAGGAATATCTCTAGTGTTTATATTGCATTTGTAGACGGCAACTTTTTTATAGCCAAAGGGATCCATAATATACTGTTCTATTTCCCAACTGTATGTCTGCTGCAATTGCTTTGCTCTAGTTCGCTCTTCTTGTGAGAAGGACGTAAAGGACAGAAACCTTGTTACTCCTGGTTTTATGAAGTGGTTGTATTATCAGACACCTGTGGTGTCTAAATGAAGACTTGGAATTGGTACTTGAATAACCTTGGTTACGTATATTCTTTCTGTGTTCTCACTTAGAAAAAAGTGCAACTTGGGGGTAACACAGAATACTGCTGTTCTGAGTACTGTTGTGTTTTAAACTACTGGCTCTGTGAGCCTGTCCTCCTCACTTCTCAGCCTCTTTGTAATAGCTAGGCTGAATATGCTCCCCTTCTTATGGGGGCTGAGTGTGGACTTAGTTTTACTGCCATTTCAGCATTAGAAGCTGAAATAAGATTTTCTTGTTTTCAGTGCTACTGTTTGCTGTGCTATATACATATATATGTGTATACCCATACATAAATGCATATTCATCCATCTACATATAAGGTTAGTGATTATAATTTTATACATTGGTTGTGACTTGACGCCTCAAACAAAGGGTAGAAAAAGAAATAGAATCCAGTTTAAAGAGTAAAATTAATTTGCAAAACCCACGATGCTGCCTTCTTAGAGTCCCCTGGTCTTCTATTAAACAGTTTCTATCTTCTGAAATGACTGGATCACAACAGTTGTCTGCTCTATGTAATTTCAGTTCTTATTTAGAAACACTCTCCTAGGAGCACGGGGTTTTCCAGAAAAACTATGTTATCATATAATTTAAACTGTGTAGTAATGCCTGTCCCCAAAAGGATTACAAAGAAATTGCACATGAAAAGGTTGGGTTTGCAAATTAAATGCTTTTGCAGATTTTTAAAACTATATCACAACATTAAAAAAAAAAATTAAACTGTTGCTGATACTGAGAGGCATCTTGTGCTTTTGAATCCACAATGGAGCTCTATAAATGTCACTTACTGATGCTATAGCTTCTTTGTATTGCGCTGGTGTCTAGAATGTAGACTAACATAACTTGGCCTTCATGGTTTGGTGGTGTTTTTCCATATGTGCAAGAGCTATAAACTTACAAAAAGATCTTTAAAGATACAGTGGACGTTGCCAGTGTATCCAAGTTCTATGTTGACTATAACTTCTTAAGAAGAAACTGCAATATTTTACTCTTAGACTTGCGATATATTTCCTGTAAACTTGGTTGCTTTATGTTTCTGTACATCAAGGATTTGATGTTAGCTGTGTTTTTTAGTTTATGAACTTTATCAAAAGCTACTTAATTAGCAACTGACTCCAGATATGGATTTAATAATAGCATATATTATTTTTGCACTAATATGTAGATTTCCTTTACTGAAATATGTATACTTGGAACTTGCCTTTGCAGGGTGTGATCATTGACATGCACAATGATTTAGGGAGAAAAGCGGTATCTATTCCCTGCATCTAAGCAGGCTAAGATTCTTCAAACCCTCTCTTGCCTATACTTTTCCTGCTTTTGATTTAGCTCTTTGCTATATTGCTGATTTTTTTTTTTAATTGAGCTGAAGGTGAGGCTGTCAAGAAAACTAAGTGGTTACTTCAGGCTCTTAGGGGAAATAGTCATCTGTCTTTCTGAAGAGTAAAATTTTCAAAAGTACCAGACAGACTTAAGATTCCCAGCTCCCCATTTCAAAAGCGACTCTGACTCCCAAGTTCCACTGCATTGCTGTGGTGCTTGTGCTACTAAATGTGCACATTTTATAAGTCTGTTTCTTTGAAAATTTTCTGATCTTTGGGACTGCAATGTCTGCTGAACAATGTGATCTAGAATAAATAAAGATTTGGACTCTTGGGGAATAAATCAACAATGCCTTCACTATTTGCTCAGTGCATACCTTCTTTTCTCCCCCCTCCCTCCCTCCCCTCCTGGCCTCAATGTTTTGTGCCCTGGAGCTGGGCTGCAGGCAAGCCCCGAGCTGGGGCATTTTGTGAGCTCTGCCACTGTCTGCGGGGACAATGGCTGCAGTGTCCCGAGGGCCTACACAGGGGCAGTCGATGGCGTTTCTGTGGAATCGCAGTGGTGTATGGCATCTGCTGAAAGCTGTAGGATAAGCAAATGCAAAAATTCCTTTAAGCTGCCAGGCCTCTGAAAATGCCATGTTGTGGCCTCATTGATAAATGCCACAAATAGCAGAACAGTCATGAAGGAGTTGGTTCAAACTGGGAGGCTGCATGCCATTCATGTTCAAATTTTAACTGTGGAAAGAAATTCTCATCTCCCCCACCCCTGAGTATGTGCGGCGAGCCGTTTGCTCTAGAACTCTGTCTTCTGTCAGCTGCCATCTCCAGTACAACAAATCTTTTCCCTAAAACTTGGCGCACAGAAGTAGGGCCTGGGCCTGCTTTTCATTACCAGCACTGGGGAGATATGGGATGCCCTTGTTTATGTTCCCAGTTCCAGGTGCAAGGAGATAAAACTTTGGGACTAACTGCTATTTGCTTAAGCTGTACTAATACTGAGCTACGGCAAGCAGCCTTGTGTGTTAAAATGACGATCAGTCCTTGATTACTATTATAAAGTGGCAGACTAAGAAGCTGAAACTAACCTTAAAGAAAAATGTGGTCTTCATTATTTTTTTCCTTGTTACTGGTTTCCATAAATACTTTTTAAGGAAGAATAAACTTCTTTAAGACTGGTTTTTATTTTTGAGTATCTAATGGATTTATTGGGTACTGAGAGAGTTCATAAATCTATAGATAAAAGGAAGTCCTCTTTTTTTTTTTTTTTTTTTTTTTATTTTCTACCCCTCAAAATCTCCTCAGTATAGACAGCTAGACATGTTGCTTATGTTCTGCTTACACTTGTATGCTACTTCGGCAAGTCTGATCACCGACTTTTAGTAGTCTGCTTGTTCTTTTGCCTCTTGAAGATGATAATGATGTGCTTTATTCTTTTTTGGACTTCATATCATGTGATTCATAAAAGGCATTGAGATGTATGCCAAAATGCTAGAAATGGGTAGGTTTAGACTAGATATAAGGAAGAAATTCTTTACAATGAGGGTGGTAAAACACTGGAACAAGTTGCCCAGAGAGGTGGTGGAGGCCCCATCCCTGGAAACATTCAAGGCCAGGTTGGATGGGGCTCTGAGCAACCTGATCTAGTTAGCGGTGTCCCTGCTCCCTGCAGGGGGGTTGGACTAGATGACCTCTAGGGGTCCCTTCCAACCCAAACCATCCTATGATTCTATGAAATGCAGAAGTTAACAGAAATTAACACTATAGGAAGTGTATTACTTTTTAGAAGATAATGACATAGAAAAAGTTGGCTCACGTGAAGTCGTCTTCCATTATTTTAAAAATGAAGATCAAGAAAAACTAAGAACTATTTAGTGTCACTTAAGGGTGCAAAATATTTAAATCAATTTAGGTACTGAGTTTTCTGTATGCCTTCAAGTCAATTTTTTTGATGAATTGAAAAAAATTGAAATGTCTTTATTTTTGTCAATAATATATATAGCTATCAAAATATGGTGAACAGTTTATTATAAAGAAGCTACAGCTTTATAATCTATTTTATTGTTATTTTAAATTGACCTGACTAATACCATGGAAGAACGGTACCTGTTATTAAGGATTTTACTGATTTACTGATAGTACTTCTTGTCTTTTTTTTAGTTTTTCATATTTTTTCTCTTTTTTTATTTTAGAAAAGAGCAAAAGGCCAAGTGCTGTTTGACAAAGTGTGCGAACATCTCAATTTACTGGAAAAGGATTATTTTGGGCTGTTGTTTTATGAGAATTCAGAACAGAAGGTAAGCCTGTATGAGGATTTTTGTTTGTTTGTTTTTCTACATTGCTACTGACTTCAATAGTTTAGTGAGGCACATTGTATTAAATGTACACGATTACAAACATTTGTGTAAACTGTTGCAAAATGTCTAGTCTGCTGTAAACTTGCAACATGTGCAAGATACTGATGTGTATATTGATACCTAACAAAGTGCACACTTAATATCTACAGTGGAGGAATATTTAAAATATCTGCAGTTTTGAGAAAACTATTGAGTAACTGCTAGGCTTTATAGTATAACAGTAAAATAGTATAGTGAAACAGTATGCCGTCCCTGCAAGTGAAGATAGGAAACTTTAACTAATATCTTTGCCTTAACAGTGTGACAACCCCAAAATTTCTGAAAACTTTTATTTACTTTTTATTTAAAAACAAGCAAACAAAACTTTGTCTGATAAATAATAATAAATTAATCTTCTACCTGACTTTCCAATAATTTAGCTGCCTTTTCATATGTTTGTTTAATAATGCTTTGAACAGGAACATGGTGGAAATCTTGGCCCTAAGTCTGTAACTGTTAGACCTTTGAGCTCCTTTTTTATCAATTTTAAGCTTAAAGAAAACTTCGGCATATGTAAAGATGAGACTGGAGCTAGCTCATCACCAGTACTGGATGCTAATTTTACAAATTAATGGTGTTTTTATATGACTACATTCAAAATATCTCTTAAATACTATTCACAGAATCACAGAATCAGAATAGCAAGGGTTGGAAGGGACCTCGGGAGATCATCTAGTCCAACCCCCCTGCTAAAGCAGGCTCTCCTAGAGCATTCTACACAGGACTTTGTCCAGGCGGACTTTGAATATCTCCAGAGAAGGAGACTCCACAACCTCCCTGGGCAGCCTGTTCCAGTGCTCTGTCACCCTTAGAGTAAAGAAGTTCTTCCTCATATTCAACTGAAACCTCTTATGTTTCAGTTTGCACCCGTTGCCCCTTGTCCTGTCGCTGGACACCACTGCAAAGAGACTGCTTCCATCCTCGTGACTTCCGCCCTTAAGATATTTGTACGTGTTGATAAGGTCCCCTCTCAGTCTTCTCTTTTTCAGGCTGAACAAGCCCAACTCTCTCAGCCTTTCCTCGTAGGGGAGGTGCTCCAGTCTCTTTATCATCCTAGTTGCTCTCCTCTGGACTCTTTCTAGGAGTTCCTCATCTTTCTTGAACTGGGGAGCCCAGAGCTGGACACAGTACTCCAGGTGGGGTCTCACCAGGGCAGAGTAGAGGGGGAGGATAACCTCCCTCGACCTGCTGGCCACACTCCTCTTAATACACCCCAGGATACCATTGGCCTTCTTGGCAACTTATTTTGAGTCTGATTTTGCACTTGCTTACATGTTGGATGGTTGAGCACGTCTAGATTGCTGAGCTGAGAAAAATCTTAAATCAGTTGGTGGCATGCATTCCACTAATTACTAAAAGCCAATTTAGCTTTTCCCAGCATCTGAACATTTAGTTAGTTATGGGCCAGCTGTCACTTTGTCCATAAACTAAAGATATACCTGCAATCATCTTTTCCCTCATAAAGAAAACAGACTAATAATTACAAGTTGATGTGGAAAAAGTTGTATTTCTTTTTGATCTCTGTAGCAGGAAACATCATTATGTGTGTACTATACTTAGTATAGAAGCTTTTTCATTTTTTTGTCATCTTTCTCATCCCACTATTGTGTTCGAAATGAAGTCTAATTTAGAGGGGTGAATACATCTGAATTTCTGACAACTTCCATTCAAATACAGTTGTTTTCTAGAATTATTTGCTTTGCTGCAAGGCTTTCTGTGCAGCATTGAGCAAAATACTCAATCCCTCTGTATTAAAGATGCCCATATATAAAATGGGCTTGATGTATTTTTACTTGGATGTTTTATTTTTGTTCTTGACCTGTAAACCATTTATAGAAATGAGAACTTCTTTGGTGTAACAATGAAGAGCATCTCAGTTGATCCTCTGAGTAATATCATAATCTTAATTATTATTTGTTGTTGTCACATGTTGTCCCTTTCTTTGTGCCACTCATTATTGAAAATCTATACTGTACATACAGAGTAAAATAACATAAAACAGTCTGATCTCTGACAAGGGAGGAGAGATATAATAGTAGAACTGGGATCCTTGAACTATACTAGGAAATAGCCTGCTTGAGTAGATCCTAGGAGGCAGAATAGGGAGCCTTTGGCTTTTCAGAGTAG